AAAGAGAATTCAACTAAGATGGTGACAACTTTTTTGAGTGGATGGCTATGGCTTAAAGAGTTCCCATCAAAGGCACTTACCAAATTGAATAACATATCATTGCAGATCAAGAAAATTGCAAATGATGATCCAAGAAGATTGACACACTCTCTAAAAGTTGGACTTGCTCTAACTTTGGTCTCCCTTTTTTACTACTTCCAGCCTTTGTACAGCAGCTTCGGTGTCTCGGCAATGTGGGCTGTCATGACTGTGGTAGTCGTCTTTGAATTCTCTGTCGGTAAGTCGTGCTCAAAATTCCAGTCGAAACCAGGTTTAATTTCCATATATGTGGTTTATTGAGGTTTAGTTTAGTTCAATCATAGTTCAAATCAAACAAGAAGAAAAATATCATATAAAAATAATATATACATTCATATAATATGATTTAGGTGCGACGTTAGGAAAGGGGCTGAACAGGGGATTGGCAACATTGGTAGCCGGTGGATTAGGTCTCGGAGCTCATCATCTTGCGGTTGTGAGCGGAAAAACATGCGAGCCCATATTGATTGGACTATTCGTCTTCCTACAAGGTATATTTTATATATACATATTTTGTTTCGCATAGATTTACGAAGGCGAAATTTAAAAAATGGTCAACTATGTTGGATCATTTTCCGAAAAAGGTCCATCATATAGGGTGTCATCAAGAATGGTCCACTAAGTTGTCAATCTAATCAAAATTCGTAACATAGTGTACGTACAAGTGATCATGTTTAGTACTCTTACGAGTTTTGATTAAAGCGACAATTTATTGGACCATTCTTGAAGACGCCCTATGATGGACTATTTTCAGAAAATGACCAACATAGTGTACTAGAAATGAAATTACCCGATTTGCGAATTAAAAAGGATAGAAAGAAAAGAAATCAGTTCATTGTTTGTACTTTTTTTTATCCTTTACAGCTGTTGTGTCGACGTTCATACGGTTTTTCCCGACCGTGAAGGCCAGATATGATTACGGGATGCTAATATTCATACTCACGTTTTGTCTGGTTTCCATCTCGGGTTTGAAAACCCACGAAATTCTTGAGGTTGCTCACAAGAGGCTGTCGACCGTGGCTATTGGCGCGTCCACTTGTGTGGTCGTGTCCATTTTCGTATATCCCGTGTGGGCCGGGGAGGACCTCCACAAACTTGTTGCTAAGAATATCGATAAAATTGGAAATTATTTACAAGGTACAATAGTGTTGTACTCCTATGTATATGTTTGGACCAACATTTACAATATACTCTTACAAGGTACAATAATGTTGTACGTGGAAATTTGAGTTGCTGATTTATTTGGCTATTTAGCTATTTTCTAGTCTGTGAT